TCATTGTTACAAATTGAACATAATTAAAGCATAGTGATTAATCACAAAAACAATATATAATTACATATGTGTTTTCCCATGGTCTAGGCGACCCCTGTGAAAGGGTCGTTCGACCCCCGAAGGGGTCGCGACCCACAGGTTGAGAACCGCTGTTCTAGAGTAAGAACAGTCATCATTCCACTAATATTAATGGAGTTCCTATTCTATAATAAGCACAAGATGGGTGTGGGAAATACAAAAATGAAAAATAGTGCCTAGCTTGAAGGATCTCACAGTGTAGTATATGGTACAGAGAAACCTTTGGAAAATTATAATTCAAGAGAATAAGTATGATAGTGAAGACCCAAGAAAACAAAGATGTAAAGGGGAGAGGTGATAAGATTCTTTTAATTCTTTATTGTTGAAAGTATTACATATGTCTCCTTTTTCCCCCATTGACCTCTCCCAAACCAACCCCCAACATAGGCCTTCACCCCCCTATTGTCTGTGTCCATTGATTATGCTTATACGCATGCATACATGTCCTTTGGTTGATCTCTTACCCCCTCCCTCCCACCCTTCCCTACCTTCCCTCTGAGATTTGATGATCCGTTCGATGCTGCTATGTCTCTGGATCTATTTTTGTCCATAAGTTTATGTTGTTCATTATATTCCACAAATGAGTGAGATCATGTGATACTTATCTTTCTCCTACAGGCTTATTTCACTTAGCATAATGCTCTTTAGGTCCAGCCATGCTGTTGCAAATGGTAAGAGTTCCTTCTTTTTTACAGCAGCTTAGTATTCCATTGTGTGGATGTACCACAGTTTTCTAATCCATTCATCTACTAATGGGCACTAAGGCTGTTTCCAAATCTTAGCTATTGTAAATTGTGCTGCTATGAACAAAGGGGTGCATATATCCTTTCTGATTGGTGTCTCTGATTCCCTGGGATATATTCCTAGAAGTGGGATTACTGGGTCAAATGGGAGTTCCACTTTTAATTTTTTGAGGAAAAGCTATACTGTTTTCCACTGTGGCTGCACAAGTCTGCATTCCCACCAGCAGTGCATGAGGGTTCCTTTTTCTCCACATCCTCACCAGCACTTGTTTGTTGATTTGTTGATGATAGCCATTCTGACAGTGTAAGGTGGCACCTCATTGTCGTTTTGATTTGCATCTCTCAGATGATTAGTAGCTTTGAGCATGTTTTCATATGCCTCTTGGCCTTCTGTATGTCCTCTATTGAAAAGTGTCTATTTAGATCCTTTGCCCATTTTTTTATTGAACTGTTTATCTTCCTTTTGTTAAGTTGTATGAGTTCCCTATAAATTTTGGAGGTTAAACCCTTATCGGATATAACACTGGCAAATAAGTTCTCCCATGCAGTGGGCTTTCTTGTTGTTTTGTTTATGGTTTCTTTCTTGTCTGGATCAAATTTTAGTCAGGCTCCTTTGAAACCACTGCCCAATGAGGACCACATGTACTTCTTCACAGACTCCAATTTTAGCAAGAATCCTGGTAAGTTCCTTTAGCAAGAATTCCCCATCTTTGATATATCATCAAACTCCTTTTCCCTACTTGCCACCAGGTGATATCTAATCATTCGAGCCTGCCTTGAGCAAAAATCCTATTAGTGTGTAACCACTAATAGAATAATATAAAAACTGTAACAAAACATCTAATGGAAGCTATAAATTTTTTTAAAAATACTTGATTGACCTTTAAAAATATTAGGAAAGAAGTAAAATAGAAAGATATCTGTAATAATATCAACAATAAAAAATATATTTTTAAAAAAGAAGGAAAATAAAAAACAAATGAAACAACGCAAATAGCAAGATAATAGATTTAAACACAATTATATTAGTAATTACATTACATTATATATAAACGTAAACAAGCCAATTAAAACACACAGCCTATGATTCTGGATTATAAAAAAGACTTTGTGCTATTTAAAAGATATACTTTAATTACAAGGATATATATAAGTTGAAGCTAAAAAGAAGGAAAATTATATATCATACAAACACAAAGTAAAAGAAACCTGGTAAGAATACTAAACTTTAAGAAAGAAGTATTAGTTAAAGTAAAAAGGAACACTTCATGGTGATAAGAGGGTCAATTCAACAGAAAGACAAAAAATATTAAATTTGTGTTCAACTAATAACAAGGCTTCAAAATATATGAAGCAAAAGTAAATGGAACCAGAATAGAAACAGAAAAATTCAAAATCTATAAACATGGGAGAAGGCAAAAAATAAAAGGACACAAACATTTTAAATTATTAACCACCTTAAACTTAGTTTAAATTTAGAGAACACTATACCCAGATGTTTCAAATGTATGTAACACATTTTTTAAAACTTGCCTGATATTCTGAATCACAAGACAGTCAACAAATTTCAGAGGACTGAAATTATACAGACTATAATATGGGAGTCCCAGAGGAAGATAAAATAGAGAAAGACACAAAAGAATATTTAGAGAAACAATGGCCCAAGCCTACCATTGTTTTAACTTTTTAAAATATTTTTATTAATTTTTTAGAGGAAGGGAGAGGGATAGATAGAAACATCGATCAGCTTCCATCTGCACGCCTGCTACTGGGGATAGAACCCACAACCAAAATATATGTCCTTAACCTGAATCAAACCCTTGACCCTTCAATTGAGGGCCGATGCTCTATCCACTGAGCCAAACCAGTCAGGTCAAAACCTCCCCAAATATGATGAAACCCACAGATACACAAATCCATGAAGATCAGTGAGTTCCAAGATAGACAAACGCAAAGTGATATACACCAAAACACATTAAAATCAAACTATCAAAAGCCAACAATAGAGAACCTTGAAAACAGCAAGAGAGAAGTGATTCATTACATACAAGAAATTTTTGATTAGGAATCCTCAATAAGACTCAAAGTCAATTGTTCATCAGAAACCATTCAGGTCATAAGGCAATGAAATGACATACTTAAAGCATTCAAAGAGAAAACTCTCAAACAAGAATTCTGTACCTGCAAAATTATCCTTCAAAAACGAAGAAGGAAGTAAAACATTCTCAGATAAACAAAAGCTGAAAGAGTTCACATCTAATAGATATTCCCTATAAGAAATAACTCTAGGTGGAAATAATGAGATATTAGAGAGTAACTCAAAGTAATGAAAAAGAACTCTGATTAAGGTTAACTACATAGGTAAATATACAAGCCAGTATTATTAGATTTTTATTATAATTCTTCTTTTTACCTAGATGATTTAAAAGACAAATGCATAAACCAATAATTATAAATCTATACGAATGGGCACACAATGCATAAAGATATAATTAGTAAAACAGTATCATAAATGAGAAGATACAGAGGTGTATATAAGGAAAGTTTTGCCTACTATTGAAGCTAAGGTGGTATTAATTCAAATTAGATTGTTACAAATTTAAGAGACAAATTGTAATTCCTAGGCCTGGCAGAGTTTGGGCCCCCAAGGCTCTAGGAGCACTGCCCCATGGATTTGGGTGACTCCATCCTTTGAAATCTAGGTGGAGGCAGCCATGCCCCTGGGCCTGTGCATTCTCAGCTGGTAGAAACAGCTTACTCTACCAAAGTTTGTGGCGTGCAACCTACAGAGGGGCAGCTGCTGCACTGAGGACTACCAGAGGTAAACCCGGGCAGCTGAGGAGCTCAGCACTGCAGAGCACCAGAGGAACCCTCAATATGAGGCAGCACCAGGAAGCAAGCAGTAGGTCTCTAAGACTTGGCAGCTCCTCCTTTGAAATTGTTCTGCCATCAGGCCCTTGCAAAAGAAGGGGCAGCCCAGATGATTTCTAAATTGCCTTTAGTGTCATCCTTCTATTGTCTTAGGAAATAGCTCCTGGCACCTGTTGCTATGGCTGATCCACACTAATTATCAAATAGTGTTTTCTTTAGACACCACTTTCTCATTTTTTACAAGACAGATTTGAGAATTTTCCAAATCTTCAAGTTTTGCTTCCTTTTTGTTTAACAATTCCATCTTTAAGTCATTTCTCGAACATTTTACTGTAAGCAGCAGTCAAGATTTGTCAACCACACTTTGAACAGTGTGCTTAGGTAAAGATCCAATTTTATTGCTCACAAAACTCTACCTTCCACAAAACAGTAAAATATAAACACAACTCAGGAAAGTTCTTTGGCACCTTACAACAAGGATCACTTTTCCTCCAGATTCCAATAACATGTTGCTCATCTGCATCTAAGACCTCATCAGAATGGCCTTTACCATCCATATTTCTACCAGCATTCTGTTCATGATAACTTAAGTATTCTCTAAGAAGATTGAGGCTTTCTCTACAGCTCTCTTCTTTTCTTTCTGAGTCCTCACCAGACTGCACAACAATGAAGGCTTTTTCTAGCATGCACTCAAAACTCTTCCATTACCCATTACGCAATTTCAAAGGCACTTCCACTTTTTTAGGTATTTGTTACAACATCTTCCCCCCTCCTCCACTTCTCAGTACCAATTTTTGTCTTAATCCATTTGGAATGCTGTAACTAAAATACCACCGACTACATGGCTTATAAACACAGACATTTCTCATCATTCTAGAGGCTAGAAAGTACAAAATCGAGGCACTGGCAGATTCAGGTTCTAATAAGGACCCACTCCTGGTTCATAGATGGTTCATCTTCTGGTTCATCTTCTTACTATTCCTCACATGGCTGAAGGGGCAAAGATGCTCTCTGGAGTCTCTTTTATAAGGGTACTAATTCCACTGATGAAGGACCCCCTGATGACCTAATCACTTCCCAAAGGACTTACCTCCAAATATCATCACACTGGGGGAATAGATTTCAACATGAATTTGAAGGGGAACACAAAAATTCAGTTTATAGGACTAGACCAAGGCAGATCTGCCTTAAATTCTACTCTAGTGATGTTCTCATGTTTTATGCATGTTCTACGTGTATGTTGTATTAGAGTAGCATAATTAAAGCAATCATCTATTAATAAACAGAAAAAATATTTTTAATAGTTACCACAGGCTTTAGAAGCAGCAACACAAATTTCTTCTGCAACATATTCCCCAGTTGAAAACTTCAGGTAATCTCCCTCAGTTTTCCCAGGGGAATGATAAAGATACACCTGAAGGACTGGATCTATTTGCTTCACAGAATCAGTAATTCCAGGAATATCTCCATTCTGATGCATAGGAGGTGTGCATGTTCCTTCCATTTCTGTCATTGTGAGGCAAGCCATTTCCATGCAGAGTCTTTTTCAGAACATTTGCCTATAAGAGAAAACAACACAGTTAATCAATGACTGTGAAAAACATCAAGATTATAAACTTCCTGTAGACAAGGACTATAAAACTGTAAAGTTTACAATTTAACTGAGGAAACATAATATAAATATGCAACACAAAACAGAGAAAATCAGTTGCAGCCCACAGAAGAGATCCCATGAGGCAACATGATTTCTTACAAATAATTACTCTAACAAATGCTTATTAATGTCTGGAGGAGAGAA